CCTACCATGTGAATGCATATGAATATTTGTGCACAGGTGGGTTTTTTTTGTGTGTGTGTGTGGGGGGGGTCTACTGCTGCATATTTTTGGATTTATCTGATGGTAATCTGTGTCACTGCAATAAGTGTTGGCTTAATAACCTGGTTGATTTGTACTTGCATAATTCCCTCCTCGCCTCTTTTTTTTTTTTTTTTTTTTTTTTTTTGTTTCCATTGATTACCAGCTTCTCTCAGTTTGCCTGCAGACATTGTTATTGTGAAAATAGTTTGATCCTATTTTCAAATTATTCACCTTCTTATCTGCCTTTTTTGCAGGGAGGGATGTACCCCCTGCCCCCAATATGTTTGGATCATCTCATTTCAGCCATTACTTGGAAAAAATATTATGATTGCATTTCATCTTGATGATATAAAAATGTTGTTTACCTATTTGTACTTAGTTTAAACTCTAGTTTTGTTTTAATGAAGACTTGTGCAATTATTTACTGTTAAAGGCTTTAAAGTTTACATACCAGAAATAGGATAGGATGCCCTCTTTTATTTTTATTTTTTTATTTTTTTTTTATTTTTTTTATTTATTTTTTTTTTTGAATGCCTTTATAACAAAAACATGCAGATTCTGTGGCCTAGTCTCCTTTTTTTTTCTTTTTTGTAAAAGGAATGTTCAAATTCAGTTAAAGACAGGTGAAATTTGCACCATATTTATCGTCAACCTTCACCCACCCCCACTCTGTCCACTAAAGCATTCAAATCCTTACCCTGCCACATTGGTCATTGGAAAGTTCAGTCTGTCTCACTATTTTATCCATAGCTGATGGGGGATACAGATGTATGCTTTTCCAAGGATGCTAGTGTGAAGTGAAATACAAACAGCCTTGGCTGTAACTTGAACTCTACATGCTGATTTAGTGCCAAATTACAATGCAAGTTAAGACTGGGGTGGGGGGAACTTCCTTTCCGGTATCTCTAGTCTAGTTTTGTAATTTCTTTTCATTGCTGAAAATGTGACACAAACTTTCAATTTTGTTTATACAAATGCAGCACAGGATGGATCTTAATTTCAGTTGCTTTTTATTACAACTTCATGTTTGTCATTCTATGAAACAAACTCTTGGAGGGTTTTGTCTTTGTTTCACATCTGTGCTGCTTACCAATGATCATAGAATGGTAGTCTGAGAAAAAGCAAAGGAAATTAAGACAAGAAATAAGGATAAAAAATGAATCTTATTATCACCTGCATTTCTTATTAATCTTAATCCATACAGGTATATTTGTATTAGTATTCTTTTATTCCTAGATGACTTTGTTGAAAGGGATATACTGGAGTATTTGTAATATGAAGTGAGGTAATTAACTATTACCAAAATGTATTCTACTTGTTCTTTGGTAAAAGTTTTCATTTCATTGTTATAAAATAGACCTTCAGAAATTGTTGAACTTCCTGAATAAATTTTATCTAAGTGACCAGTTTGCCTGGCTTTCTGCTCTCATTATTACATTATCTTACATTGGAGCAAATATTTTAAGTTGACCTTTGGTAACAATGACTTATGCAAAGAGATAGTTGCTATTTTCTATCTTTTCTTTTTCTTTTATGTGTGGGTGTGCTTATTTATTTCTGTACGATGAAATTTTGTTCTATAAAACATTGTGGCTATTTTGTTTTTTAATAAAAGTGGGTCTCAAAATACTCTTGTTGCAAATAATTTTTCAGGTCCTTAAACTTCATTTTTATAAATAAATTGGATTCTAACATGAAGCACCAGACTGTTTTTTGCAGTACAATTTGAAAAATGAAATTACTAATTGTGCATTTTTGCATTTAACATATTTATTACTTAGATAAAAGATATCTAGATTTATCATAAAAAAAAAGGCTTTCAAAAGATCATTTAAATGTGGTTCCATTAATTTCACAGGTCTATTTTTTTCTTTTGCCAAAGAGATATTTGTAGGATCTCACCATCCAGGTTTCAATTGTTGACATAATCACTTTCATGTCCAAAGGTTTTATTAAATCAAAACTACTTCGCAAAACAAATTTCAACATAGTAACACACACAAAAACATATATTCCTACATATATATGATTCCCTCAACAAAAAACATTACTTTAGACCAGCAGTGAATTCCTTCTGGAGGCTGAAACGCATTACACAGAATTTTTTCCACTTTTTCATTCATTTGTTATGATGTATAGAATTTTTCCCATATATATATATATATATATATATATATAAAATGTGTGTCTATAGAATATTTTAGAGCATTTCCAAATTCTAAATTTGAAAACATGACAATATTTTTCCTTTGCATTACTTCTGCATATAAATACAAATTACAAAATCTCTGCACATACCTTGATAAAGTTACTCAAGGGATGAAATGTGTTGCTAAAGAAATGTTTTCCTGTGTGTGTAAACCCTGTGAAAGTAATGAAATAAAATATAAACTAGTTTATTAAAATGATAATTTTAATTAATTTAATTAAATGTAGACTTAACATAATCTACAATACTCAAACTAAACAATTTTCAATTTTTATTATAGTTAGTGTAATAAAATGTTTTCATGATCCAAATTCCCAAAAGATGCAGCTCTGACACCAAAAAAAAAGAATACTGACCCCGCTCAAACTGGGATATATACAAACCTAATTAAATAAAACTGTTATCAACATTTATTTTATTAAATGCAAGTTATTTTGTTGCTAAAAATGAAATATTTAATTTTATTTAGATATATTAAATAATTAAAAATATTTTCTTTTTCTCTCTCTCTCCATTGTTCTTATTTTATTATGTTTTTATCTACTCTAAGTGAACTCTGAAACATTTTTCAACTAATCAGAGAGATATTTTCAATTAAAAACACTGGCAATCAGAAGTTGGATTCTACAATTCTCTATTGATGGCTTATAACAAACTAGATGTGATAAAGAGAGTGATGAGATCTGTTTAAAAATCCCTTCTTTTTTTCTAATACTATCTGGAAAAAATGTTTTACATTGATAGCTTATTATAACAACTTTATTTTTCTTTTGGTGAGATGCTTTAATTCTGTTTGGTGTATGTATTTACTTTATCCAAAGTTCTCCTTCAATTATTTTGATCTTATGAAGCTGAGAGAGATGGCCATTAAAGTAAGAAAATGTCTAATTTCTGCCATAATTAGGAGCACTCTTTTTGATGCTGAATTATTTCTGCTTTGTTGAGTTTCTTTTTTATGACCAATTTTTTTTGTAAATATAAGGTTTGGTAGTTTTCTAATATAGGCAAATTTTATTTTAAGGAAACCATTTTATGCCTGACTATTGCATGTTTGTATGTGTGTGCGCATATATATATATATATATATATATATATATATTTAACTACTACACTACCATTACCTCTTCCTTCTTCATAATCTGTGAAATTGTTGTTAACAAAATTTGTGCGTCAATTTTAATCTCTTTTTTTTTTTTTTATCAGGTTTATTTTTTCTTAAATTGTAAGAGCTATAAATTTGCTTTCAGAAAATACATTTTGTTTTAACATCACTGATTGGCTTATGCTTGAAATCTTGACAGCATAAAACAGTAAAAGTTCTCTTACATGTGTAAAGGTCCCACTCAAGTATGGGGAGGGAAGGAGAGAGAGAGAGAGATTATGAAGAGTAAGGGAAACTTATTTGAAAACAAAATTCATATTGAGAAAAATTACATGTTGAAGGATTTCTTAAAAGAAGTTCAACTGTAAATTATTATTTTTTTTTTTTTAAGATAACCTTAAAGTCTTGTTGTCAATGAATTAATAGAGAAATTAAGTAACTATCTGGATTTTTTGTCTTTATATCAGAAATTGTCTTATGGCCACATCACATTGAAACACCTTCTCCCTCCAGCTATAGGTTAATTAGTAAGATTTATATCACTAAATGATTATTATCTTCCCAAAAAATTTTTACAATCTAAAAAAAATTCTGATTTTAAATAACCTGCAAAAGGTTGATAAGCTGTAAAAAATGATTGAATGAATCCATCAATCAGTTAATACCAGAAACAAAAAAAGAATTGGTCTTTAGGAAGTTTCAACATCAACTCTTAATCTTTTGTCTTGTAATTAGGACATTAATAAAAAGAGGGAATAAAACAAAGGAGCTTTTACCTCTCCTGGGTTCATTGAAAATGAAATGAGCATCATGAGTGTAGGCTGTTTAAATTCAAATGAACCCAAAAATACAATTTGTGCTTTTAAAAATGCAAGACACTTCCAGTTCTATTCCTTGATTAAGAAGAAAAAATAATAAAGATTTACTTTAAATTTAGTTTCTGCCTTAAAACTTCTCTAATAATCAGCTTGGTCTTTTTCTCTCTCTGTATGTTTGTGTTTGTCAAAATAAAGGAGAATTTACAAGAACTGAGAGAGAGTTCTTGTAAATTCTCCTTTATTTTGTTGAATTGTCAATTGCTTTCACTTTGACAAGATGCAGTTTTAAGTTGAATTTTAAAAGAAAAAAATTTACAAATTATGTGTTTATGGGAATGATTCTTTGATAAAATATGAATAGATATTTACGTGGATAAATAAATTAAAATGATCTGATTTTTGCTAAATAACTTTAAGCACATTATCAGTATTCTCAAAAATGTTAGGAATGCTGACAATGTATTTTAATTTATTTACTTTCTAATTGCTTTTGTTTGTTTTTCTTTTTATTTTGGTGTAAAGAAGAAAAAATCTAAGATGTTGAAAAGGTCTTTGTTTGGTATTGATTTCCAAAAATCCATTTTAAGAAACCATTGTTTATACTTTGAATCTTTTTATTTTTTGGCGTTCTTTCCAATTTTTCCTGAAAGTGTCCTGTAACAAAGCTCTGATTTCTTTACTCTCTTTCCAGTTGACACACTAAAGGTCACATCTGTAGTTAAGTGTCCATAATTTCTTTTGACATTTTATTATTGCTCAAGCAGATCCACTTGTGAAGATATCACTAACTCTAATTGTCTTTTTGTTGCAGGGTATTCTTGGCAGTGTGCAAAGTGGCAAGTCTGCTTTGGTTCACCGTTATTTGACTGGATCATATATGCAGGAGGAGTCACCTGAAGGTAAGTCAACACAGAATATTACTTTGATGCATGTCTTAGCAAATGATGGAAAACAAGGAAATACTGCCCAAAATAAAGGGATAAAATAAAAACCTGTTCTTGCAATGTTGTTACAGCACAGAAAGAACTATTAACTATTTCTTATGAACTTTTTAATTACCAACTGAACCACTTAAATATAACGTTTACTACACTTTGGTAACGGTTAAGTGGCATGTCTGTCTTGTTAAGCTGAGTGTTCTTTATTTATTTTTATTTTTTTTTAACAAAGTCTGCATAAATCTGTTAGTTTGGGTTGCAGAATTTCATGTGGAATAATTTAAGCAATTCTCTATTCTTTAACTTTTCCCTTTGGCTTTTAATGTTCGAAGCAATTATTGTGAGAAAAGTTTATATTGGAAATGAATTAATATTGGTCATGATGAAAAAGTAAAGGGGTTTTTGAAAACAGAAAATTCATTGGTAATTCATCATTTCACAATCCTCTCCAAGACTTTTGAACAGGAGTAGAGGTTTATCCTTTGTTTCCTGTTTAGCATTGGCTTTCCAGTTTCTTCTAAAGATTACTTCTACTCTATACTTCTAATGTTTCTGCCTAAACTCTGAAATTTTATTTACTAATTATTTATTTTTCCTAAGGACAAGATATGTTCACCTATTGTCACATTTTTTTTTTTTGAACAGGAGTAGAGGTTTATCCTTTGTTTCCTGTTTTGGTTCCTTCTAAAGTATTTTTATTCTCTTTCACTCCCAGTAGCCCCCTGCATCTTAGTAGCATTGTCGCCTTGCTCGGGGGGGTGAATTGATTTAACCTTTAGCACTCTGCATTATCAATATTACTTCCCTGTCCATTGCATTCTTTTTCAAGGCCTCTTAATTGCAGTATCCTTATCGTTAATTTCGTTTAAACTTGTTTTCTGTTGCCATAGCAGGATATGACAACACAACTATGAAATTCAAACTGAGTATTGTTCAGGAATCGGTGTCACCTTCCGTGGCAGGATAAGCTTTTTGTATGGCAAATGAAGTCATAGAGTGATAAAGATTTTTTAAAAAATTGGAATTTGTGACATAATAAAATTCTGATTGGAAAAGAAAAATTCTTCATGACTGGCTGCCATTTTTATTGGAATTATTTGAAATAACTTATTTTGATCTTCTAGGAAATTAATCATATTTCATATAAAGTCCTATCTGCTATAATCATTTCTATGTGTCAAGAAATTTTGTCTTGGTAAAGTGGTTTTTTTTTTTTTTTTTAAAGCTGAATTGGCAGATTCAATTTCCAACCAAAGTTTGGATTTGCTCTGAGTTTTCTCTTATTCACTAAATAGACTATTCAAGTAGTTTCACTTTTATCTAATACTAATAATTAATATAAAATTGAAGATGTTGCAGTATCTATTTCTTTTTTTGTAATGTTTCTGTTACTGAATAATTGTCCAAATAAAGTTGTTTGTGTATTGAAAATAAGATTGGCATGGAGCTTCACAGTGGATGTTGCACTATCTTTGTCCTGTCTTGTATTGCCTGAAAATATCTCTTGTGTTAATTTTAGCTGTCAACTTGAGATTTTAAAAAAGGTACATACTGAACATTTATGCAATAAACAGTAGCTCTGGTTTTTTAACTGTTTAGGAATTCCAAATTGGTTTAATTGTAATATTAATCCTATTCCAAATAGAATGCTATCTCAGCAGATATTCATTTCAAATAAATATTTCAATGTATGAGTGACTTATTCAGTCAAAATAAAATCATAAATGTTATTTTTAAATGACTTCAAATACAGACTTGACTGTTGAGCCAGTATAACAAATTCAGGACTAATTATTATTATTACAGTGTAACCCGGATATAAGATATATCCGGGTTACACTGTATTATTATTTGAATACAGTTGTTGATGTATTGTTGTATATCACCAAGCCAGTCTAATGAGCTCCCCCACCCCAAGAGTTACTTAAAGGAAAGTTACTACAATTTGGGGCCAGTCACCTGAGAGCAACATCCTCACTTAATGTCTAAATAAAGTGTTTTGTATTGTTGAACCCAGTTGTTTGGTTTCCTTATTACCACCATATCAACCATTATAACATGTATATAAAGTAATGAGTGTCACCAAATTAGTACTGGTAGTCTAGTTCAGTCAAATAAGAACTATTTCAGTTGATTTCTGACTCCAAAATTAATTTCTCCTTGTCACCAAGATCGACACATTTTGGATTTGACAATAAGCTACATATAAATAAACTACAAGGGCCCTGATTTGTGAGGAGCATGGAACCTCCTCTTAATTGCTATTGTTTCCTGGTCCACTCTAACTTGGGCTAGTAGCACCTGTTAGGGTCTCCAGCTATGGCGAACCCTCAAACTGGGGTCAAAACACTATGAAAGTGTAGATGTATATTTTTATAGTAAAATTATCAATAGATTTTAATAGTAAAAAGAAAAAAATCCAGTAACAGATTTTAATAGTAAAAAAAAAAATTAACCAAAGCTCCCAAGAAAGCTACATTTCAACATTAAATGACCCATAAGTTGATATGCCATTAAACAAACCAAACCAAGATCAACTGAGTGCATCTCAAACAGGCAAAACAGGTTGAATATTTACTAAATGTCTCAATGCTACTCTAGATAATGAAGGTATGAATACATTCCTTGTCTGAAGGCAACAAAAAAAAAAGAAAGCCATTCTCTTTTAAACTGTTGCCAATCATATTTTATTTTCAAGATGAGTTTCCATCAGTGACATTGTTTATTTGAACTTCAGTATGAGAGATGTTGTAAGCATTTTGCCTCTATCATCATCTGTGAGCTCTCAATACAAAAGAACATAAAGAACGTGTTGTAGTTTTAAAAGATGACAAAGCTTCATTGTGGCGTTCAAGCAGAAAAAGTTCATAATTCTTTCTAATTAATTCTGTAATTTATATGATTACTTGTTAGAGTTTCTTTTGATTCTTAGAAGACAAGAGTCACTTCCTTTCAAAAACCTTTTTCTTTTATACAATACTTATAAAGTCTCTTTTTGAAGGGTTTCTTTCCTTTTGGTCTCTTTTTCTTCCTGTCTTTCTTGTCTATTTCTAATTTGATACTGCTCAGTTATTGCTTGTCCCATTTCTACTGAGAGCAAGTACACACTGCCTGGCCCAGGGATTGAACTCACGATTACTATGTCCCCCATTTCATGAAACAATGCTTTAATCTGCTAGGTGTGAGATAATTCTGAATGGAGAACTTAGAAACTTAAACCTAACCTGCCTGCTGATTTTTGTTGTTTCTTGTCTGCACTCAACAAACCTTTTCTTTTTCTGCTGTAGTTGTTGAAGCCTTGCTGTCATTTCTCTTTCTCTCTCTTTATTAATATCTTCTATATCATATTTATTTCTTGGGAAGGAGGCAAAATTTTGCTTTGACAGTCAAACTTTTTAGATCTGATTCAAAAAGGGTCATTTATATTTTGATCTCGGAAAACTGATATGAATGAAAAGAACATTTCTTAGGTTGAATAGATTAATGTAATTTCTTAACTGAAGCTTATTGACACTTCTAAGAAAATGGCTTAATTGTAGGACTCCAGTTTATCTTTACTGTTCTGCTTTACAATTTTCTAAATATTTAAATTATCCAGCAAAACAAAGAATTTATTAAACCTTTTTATTGATTAAAGAAAATCTTTGCTAATCTAAAACATCTACTGTTTGTAGTTATGTGCAGTCAAATGTTTTCAACTGATTGAAGTTTGGTTTTACTGAAGCTGTGACTATGGTCATTCGATAACCTTTTGTATGATCAGATCATTACAGGAACCCAAACTCTGAAAGTTAAATTTTTTAACATAATCGATGGAAATTCATATATATATATATATATATATAAAATATAATAGGCTGGTTAATAAAATTTGAGGAATAAAAAGCCAATAAAATGATAACAATATTGGCAATAAGATTGATGATATTTATTATATGTTAACCTTTTGACTGAAATGAAGTATGAAGAGAAAGATTTTAAAGTCGGAATTTTCAGACACACCTGTGTCCTTTTTCAACTAGACTGGAAATGGGACATTTCTCATTAACAATTGAAGAATCTTTTTTCTTACATGAACTGGTGCATTGAAATTTCTAAGAATGTCTTTCTTGAGTTGTTGATAATCAGTCATTGTCTATTTAACAATTTTTGTTAATCAGTTTTCATATTTATGCTTGGTTAACTTTGTTAATTGTAGCATAGAAATTTCATCCCTGGTTTAAGAATCAGTTGTTTTAGATAAAGAATGAATTTAAATAACACAGTTTTCATTATTTTTTTTTTTCTTTTTGAAATATTTACTAAGAGTAATTAAATTTAAAAAAAAAAAAAAAAGCAGCTGCTGCTGTTAATCTTATTTTTTTCCCCCACTATTATGGTCGGCTCAGGTTTTTTTCCTCCCTAGCTATCCTCAGTCAGGCAAGGAAGAGTATCTTTTAATATGATTTGATCACTAAACCATTGGTGCCTTCTCTTTTGATGCCTTAAGCTGCTTACAGTTCAAGTGCATACTTATTTTGTTTCATGATTAATCTAGCCCTGTAGACAACATGGCAACAGAATTTAAATTCATGTGCAGTATTAAAATTTTTTCAGACTAATATGTTGCACTTTTAACATTCTGTCAAATTTTTTGTTTTTTTTTCCATCTGTTCTCTTTAAAAATAAAATTGACAACAAAGAAAAATCCAACTTGAAAGATGCTCAAGAAGAAATCATTTTCAGATAATTCTGATCATCTTCTGGAAGATAGAAGACTGTCTGGATCTTTCCCTAAAGTTCTGCCATAAATCATTCTTTGTATTAATGGATATCTATATGACTTTATTTATGAGAGAGAGGGAATGATAAAGGTTTTAGAAAAAGTGGGAATTTGTGGTGGCTGGGAGATTGAAAAATGATTCACTTCATCTACTGAATTTTTTTCCTCAAAAACATTAAAATGCTAAATTTTTCTCTAT